AGCTTAAAAATTGCTTATTGATATGAATACATCAGGGGTGTAAGACATCATAGGTAATGTGAGTGAAAACATGGCGCATGCAGTCAGCAACACGGTGGAGGACAGTAATAAAAAGAATCTTAAGTGCTACTAAATGATTCTCTGTAATTAAGCAAATGATTCAAGTAAGATCCTTGCAATATGATTAGAAACAAGTAATATAAAATAAAAATCTTTTAAAGTAAATTCCTTCTTTTTTTTCACTCTATTGCAGAAATTCCTTTATAAATAATTTTCATTCATTTTTTAAAGTTTATCTGGCGCCATCTATTGGTAGATATATGCAACTTAAATCTAAAAAAAACTAATATTAATTAATTAAATTTAATTACTGAATTAATATTTGAAAAAACTGAATTAACATCAAGTGTACTCCACTACAAGTTCAAACAAAAATGTATTTGAGCTTGAGTGGATGAATAAAAAGTATTTTATGAACGATTGAAAATTTGAACAAGATATATATAGGGAGAGTGTGAGCTAATAGAAGGAAATGAAAAAGCATGTAGATGGGAGTATACACGGTAGACTGATAAACAAACCAGAGGAGATGATATCAAATGGTTCGAATCGATAAAAGTGTCCTTTTCATGAGACAGAAAAGCCTTCCAAACCGCAAATATAGCTGTTCGAAAGTTTGACGACTGTTGGCCTAGACCGTTATATTGTGCTTCAAATGAACAGTCATCGATAGCAATGAACAGAAAATATTTCATATGTGTAAACTATTTGTCATTGTGTATGACAATAGATGGCGCCACGACAAAGAGGCTCTGCCATAAATCCTCCTCCTGTAACTCCATATAAGGCGAATGCTTATACGGAGATGAAAAATGTAACAGCAGGGGCAGAAGAAGGAACGCGAGTGTGGTTGGCGGGCAGTTGCTAAAATACGTATTGTTGGAATGTGAATAAATACTTCATATATCAACTGAAAGTGTGCTTATTTATAAGAACAGAAAAAGAAGCCAACATATGCAGATAAAAAAACATGAGTACAAATCCCGGCTTTGAAATTAAAAATGCAAGTATATGATGGAAGGACGTTGAAAAGTATTTGTCACTGTCGGATTGAAATTCTTTTAAAATTTTCCTATAAAAATAAGAAGTGAAGAGTCGGAATCGGGAATTTTCGCTAGAATCTGGCATACTAAAATCCGAATTCTGACTCTTCAATAAATATAATATTTGTTTTTGGAAACTTCTTGAAGTTAAGGTTAAAATAAAATGTTAAGTGAGAAATTTAAATGCTTCCTTCAACAATACAACCAATAAAACAGATGTGGCAGCAAACCATGTAATTGTTGAGATACTTTTCTGAACACTGAGGAATATAAAAAAACTATTTGGGATCAACCGCGAAAAATATTGTACATGCTATTCTGTTATTAAGAACAAATTCAGATTTATTATAATACAAATATGGCATGTTTGTGTGAACAGTATTTTTCTTTTATTTCAGATATTTTATAATACTTGGAAGCCTCATAATTTGTTACTGTTATATTTATTTATAAGATATATAAATTTTTTGTTAACAAATTTAAAGTACAAAAATGTCATTTTAGTAAGTGTAATAGAACTGTTTTGATGAATGAAGTGGGGTATGGAGATGTGAAGCAACAAAGGCTATAATCCCCTAATCACTATATATATGAACAGTTCGTTTTTCCTTATTTTCCTCTCCTTATTATGCCCTTCTCCACAACGCTCTACGATCGTGTTAGACCGGGACCTACGGTTTAAAGTGGATTCCGAACCACTACAAACATCCATGGCACCGCCGGGACTCGAACCCGAAACCTGTGGTAAGGAGCGCCAGAGCGCTAGCCACTCGGCCATAAAACTGTTTTTATAGATACACGAGTTTGATAATAACATTGAAATTCACTGGTAAAGATAAGAAAATTACGGAAAGGAGTCACGATTTGTGAGTTGGTATAAATATTCCGACTCATGACTCCGGTGTCATAACGAAATTTGGATAAAAACAGTACACCACCCACAGGGCTCATTAAAAGATTTAATTTGGGTATTCTTGAATTTAGAGATTTTATTAACTCCATTCCCTTAAACCAGCATTTTCATATGCTTATTCTATAAAAAAAAAAAAAATGCTTATTTCAGTATTTAAAAATGTTTATTAAAAAAATGTTTGTTTTTTATGTTTATATTTTTTTTCAACATATAACATTATTTCGCAACCTTACAATTGGTTACAATTGGCCAATTTTTCGATACAAGCATATTTTATATTTTACAGACATTTAAAAAAAATAAGAAATCTGCATTTTATTACAGTTTGTAAAAATTATTCAAGCAAATGACAAATATTTTATTTCATACGAAAAAAAAAATTAAATCGAATTTTTATCAACAAAAAGTTTTTTATCATTTACATCACAATAAATATGTAAATTAAATACCTAAAAGTTTGAGCCTCCCTTTCTTTGATAAATTAAGTAGTTTATTTGTTTTTTTTTCATAAACCGAATTTCAAATATAATCTTCATAACGCCGACTCGCTTGAAAATTTGCAGAGAAAAATAATTTAAAGCAATCCAAATTTTTAATATATAGTCTAAAGTTTGAGTATGTCAGAGCAAATATTCACTAAAATAATGATCAATCATGCTGGAATTAAAAACGTATACAGGGTTTGAAATGTAAAAGATGTGTATATATTATCGATAATCATAAATTATTCTGACTTTAAAAATATTACTTATACCGTAGATAATATATTTAATATTCTTTGTAATACACTTAATCAAGCGATAATTAAAAATGTCATTATTTCATCAAATCAAAAACTTATTTCATTAATTTTCAAAAAACTGAAACACTTTTCTTTTAGATGGCAAAATTATACACTCAAGAGCCAAAACATTATGACCACCTGTCAATAACGAGTTGGCCCACCTTTGGCGCGCAACACAGCTTCAACCCGCTTTGGCATGGATTAATACCACCACTTAATACCAGTTAAATACCACTTCCACCTGATCGCGGGCCTTCCACGTCATCCAGGCGAGTTCATTGCAAAATGTAGGGGTGCTCATAATCTTTTGGCTCTTGAGTGTATATCATAATGATGTACCACTTTACCAACAAATCGAATATCATTAGATTTCCTTGTTTAAATGAATGGTTACATTTTGATACCTTAATAAAAAGTGCGATAAACTCAAATATCGTTTACTTTGATAAGACATTTTACTATAAGAAACGTAAGTAATTTTGGTTTAATTCTTATAATTTCATTGGTCAGTTAAGGTAAATAAACTAGCTACATTGCGTAATAGTTGAATTAAAAACTTTAATAGAATTCAAGTTGGGAATTTGAGGTGAGAATCTAGACGTAACACTCACACCAACGTAAAATATGACTGTAACGTTAGAGGAGTAAGAAACGAAAACAAAATGGGAAATCTATTTTCTTATATTCATTACTTACCACAGGTTTCGGGTTCGAGTCCCGGCGGTGCCATGAATATTTGTAGTGGTTCGGAATCCACTTTAAACCGTAGATCCCGGTCCTAATATATTATAATGACGAGTAATGATTCATAATGACGAGTTTATGATTGGACATAAAAATCTTTAATTTTTCTGCATTTATATCTTTTTTGTTTTTATTTGTATTCTTATTTATACCATTTAAATTATTTATGTATTATTTTATGTCTATTTATATTATTAATATTTTTATTTTTGTTCTATTACACTGTTTACAATTTATCATTTCTTTGATACTTTTAAAATTCATGAATGATATTTTTTTTACTTATTTTTGTAAGCTTCATACTCTGTAGTACTGGAGAATATTTTTTAAGTAAAATTTGGATATCTATCAATCTATCAATATTTATATAAAAAAATTAGTATTTAATACTAAGAATTACTGTAGAATGAGTATTTACAAATTTTTCGAATAAAACCTTTTTAATAGTTTTTAACATTTTGTGATGCATTTGTTTTAAATCTATTACATTCATAAATTCCCCCCCCCCAAATTTATTACTCCACAAAAATTTTCATCCACAAATTTATTTATTATGTGCACTAATGCATTAAAATTGTTTTTTTAGAAAGGTTTGACACACGAAAAGAAAAAACTCAAGTAAAATCTGAAATATTTGTTCAAAAAAAAATAATTTTTTTCTTAAAACATAATAAAAATGTGTAATCACTGAAAAATGTTATATAAAAAGGCTGATTTATGCATTAAAACCTGAGTTTATTCCTGAAGAATAGTTTATTTAAAAAGAAGAAATGAGTTATTTGTTGTAGAAGGAATAAATTTGAATTATAGCAAACAATCAAAGTCAAATAATAGCAAGGAATATTATCGATTCTAAATTACATTTTAAATGTGAAGGATGTATGGAGCTTTGAGAAACGATTGAAGAGATGCAATTACAGATAACTTTATAAACGTATAGTGTATCATGCATATTTTTAATAAAGATTATCAAACAAAATCTGTTATGAAGTGTATACAATTCACTTCACCATTTAATGAACCTTTTTTTGGCATATATTGCAGAGCAGCATGCTTCAAAACTTACTCATTAGAATTCAAATAAAGAATATTATTTTATACAAGTAAACTTTCTGAGGATAAAAGTCATGATTCCATCATAACTCTGAGGAAATATCATAGCTGGTGTTGTTGTTTGTTGTTGTTTCTTATCCCACTTGGCTGGCCAAGCCCACGAGCCCATACGTGCTCATGATTGAAGGGGAAGGAAGCAGCTTCTGTTGTGATGGAGCACCCGTAGGTAGAAGCCTGACTTTTGCTCCGTGACGCTCTTACAGTCATAGGAGACTGGGACCTACGGCTCAAAGTGGATTCCGAACCACTACAAACATCCATGGCACCGCCGGGATTGAACCCGAAACCTGTGGCACCGAGCGCCAGAGCGCCAGACACTCGCCATTCAGGTCCCAAATTTGCCAACGGCACGCGGTGTTCCCAGGTGGTCACCCACCCAAGTACTGACCTCGCCCAATGATGCTTGACTTCGGTGATCTAACGAGAACCGGTATATTCAGCATGGTACGGCCGTTGGCATATCATATCATATCTTAAAGGAATAAGCTGATAGTCGAGTGGCTTCAGTGGCATTGGGGGCCTGATGGCGAATATCTAGCTCTCGATACCACAGATTTCGGGTGTGAGTCTCGCCATAAATGTTACTTGAATTTTTATATAAATTCAAGTAACATTTTGGCATTTGTGTATTAAAAAATATTTGTGTACGGTTTTTTTGTAATTTCATTACTTGAAATTTTACTGTATTTTCTAAAATAAAAGGACAGCATTTAATTAAAATATCAATCATATATAAAGCATTTTGAATATTTTATTGTAAACTTCCTAATAGTTTATGAACGAAAATCTGATGAATTGTTGTTGTTGTTGTTGTTTCTTATCCCACTTGGCTGGCCAAGCCCACGAGCCCATACGTGCTCATGATTGAAGGGGAAGGAAGCAGCTTCTGTTGTGATGGAGCACCCGTAGGTAGAAGCCTGACTTTTGCTCCGTGACGCTCTTACAGTCATAGGAGACTGGGACCTACGGCTCAAAGTGGATTCCGAACCACTACAAACATCCATGGCACCGCCGGGATTCGAACCCGAAACCTGTGGCACCGAGCGCCAGAGCGCTAGACACTCGGCCATTCAGGTCCCAAATTTGCCAACGGCACGCGGTGTTCCCAGGTGGTCACCCACCCAAGTACTGACCTCGCCCAATGATGCTTGACTTCGGTGATCTAACGAGAACCGGTATATTCAGCATGGTACGGCCGTTGGCATATCATATCATATCTTAAAGGAATAAGCTGATAGTCGAGTGGCTTCAGTGGCATTGGGGGCCTGATGGCGAATATCTAGCTCTCGATACCACAGATTTCGGGTTCGAGTCCCTGCCATAAATGTTACTTGAATTTTTATATAAATTCAAGTAACATTTGTGGCATTTGTGTATTCAAAAAATATTTGTGTACGGTTTTTTTTTGTAATTTCATTACTTGAAATTTTACTGTATTTTCTAAAATAAAAGGACAGCATTTAATTAAAATATCAATCATATATAAAGCATTTTGAATATTTTATTGTAAACTTCCTAATAGTTTATGAACGAAAATCTGATGAATTGTTGTTGTTGTTGTTGTTGTTTCTTATCCCACTTGGCTGGTCAAGCCCACGAGCCCATACGTGCTCATGATTGAAGGGGAAGGAAGCAGCTTCTGTTGTGATGGATCACCCGTAGGTAGAAGCCTGACTTTTGCTCCGTGACGCTCTTACAGTCATAGGAGACCGGGACCTACGGCTTAAAGTGGATTCCGAACCACTACAAACATCCATGGCAACGCCGGAATTCGAACCCGAAACTGTGGCACCAAGCACTAGACACTCGGCCATTCAGGTCCCAAATTTGCCAACGGCACGCGGTGTTCCCAGGTGGTCACCTACCCAAGTACTGGCCGCGCCCAATGATGCTTGACTTCGGTGATCTAACGAGAACCGGTATATTCAGCATGGTATGGCCGTTGGTTGATGAATTGTTTATCGGACATTGTATGATGGTCAGTGCATAATGCTATGTGATTGATCAGGAGAAGAAATTCAGTATCAAACTGCGTGTTTCTTACTGTGTTCACTTATTTCCTATTTCTCTTCTAGATAAAAATTATTATAAATTTTACATACTTGCGTTTCTATATAGTTTTGTGTATAGTCATGGTCAAGGTGTATCATTTAACGGTCATGGGACAAATTTTGAGAGGGGATACAGCTTAATAAAACATATACACTCAAGAGTCAAAACATTATGACCACTTGTCAATAACGAGTTGGCCCACCTTTGGCTCGCAACATAGCTTCAACCCGCCTTGGCATGGATGCAACAAGTCCTTGGTAGATGGCCGGAGACAGATTGTACCAGATGTTTAAGCAATGGTCACGCAAATCCGAGATATTGCGAATTGGTGTCCCATATCCAACAGTGTCCGCTGAACAGTGTGCTCCGATACTATTCTACTTGGCCCTGCATTGTATTGGGCTGTCAGCTGAGCCCCTGTCTGGCTCCGGTTTTGCTTCACCCGGCGAGACAGTCTCCGACGACCTTTTTTTGATAGCGTCACTTTGACCGTCATTCATCCACTTTGCATAAATACTAACAAGTGTAGATCGCGAACAACCCACGAGTCGTGCAGTTTCGGAAATACTTGTTCCGAGCTTCCGAGCCTACTTCCGCAGTCTTTCCCATCACACACAGAAGTAAGTGAAAGAATGATTCTTCAGACTCTCCAGCAGCAATACAGCTTCCACCTGATCACGTGCCTTCCACGTCATCCAGGCGAGTTCATTGCAAAATGTAGGGGTGGTCATGATGTTTTGGCTCTTGAGTGTATTTCTTTTGCATAACAATGTAGTGTTGGAAGTAACCCGTTGAGTCACATGGTGATAAAAAAATAACTTAAAATGAAAGCATAACAATGTTTTTTGTTCATTATTAGCAAAAATATATATTTGCAACCTCATTTCTCATTGCTGTTGATTTCTCATTGTGATTGAGAATCATTGTTGACAGTCAATGCTCAAATTATGACCACTAACAACAAAACAGTCTTAGTGGAGTTAAAGGAGTGATTTGTTAACAATTCCAAAGATGCCAAACATTTGAGTTGCAATTGGTAGTCGAGCAACGAGGTCCTCATTTGAGTCAGCTGAAGTTTCATAAGTGAAAACACAGTTTGCAAACACAGCGTTAGAATAAAATAGAATGAGCATTAGGGTTGCCAGCGACTTGAAACAGTTTTCTGTGGAGGTTGTATACAAATAATATCATATTTATAGCAGAAAACTCTTTTTATTTTTAAAAAATAACAGTTCAATAGGAAAATTATATTACTTTATATATAAAAATCTATAAGTAAAAAACTGTATTTATAACTATCAGAATGACTAAAATAAAACAAAATATTCCTGTTTACCTTTTTAGGCCACAACTAATACCAATTTAGTAAATAAACACTCTATTTCGTTCCACAATCTAAATGTTGCTTTTTTCCATCACGAAATTATAAGTGCAGTAGCAGCGGCCACATCAAACAATTTCTTGGCTGCAAACTAATTATCTTGTCACGCACAACGTAATGTATTTCTCGTTTTATTGTATTTTTATTATTATGTGTTTATATATCTCCTAAGTACTTTGAGAACTCCTGGGAAGTACATCGCTTCCACTCAAAGTTGCTTAAATTCTTCAAGAATAAAAATGTTGACAATTATTTATTTGAAATTTTTTATCAAATCATTATTTTTGTTAGAATCAAAACGAGAAACAAATTAATTACATCTTTCATCGGCTAATTATGCAATAAGTAGCAAATGTTGCATCCAGTTGTGGAATTTGAGAAGAAACAAAAGTGAGGGAAAGGAATTTTCAAAAGCACTTAATTCATTCTCTTTAATTTATTCACTCCAAGGAATTTTATTCATTTAGTTAATGTTTTGGAGACTTATCAATTTCATAATTTAAGACTGCAATTTAGTTAAACAATGTCATTTCTTTTTCTTTCAAAGAATTTCATGGATTCTTCAGTTTCTCTGACATTCTTGGTTCTCTGAAAGTGTAAAAATGATTAGCTTTTAGGTTTAGGTTTTATTAGGTTTAAAAATCGAAATTATAAAATCGAATAGATTTATTAGATTTTTAAATTGAAATGGAGATGTTGCAATTAACTTATATGAAATAAATTCTAGAGTTAATTAAGTAATTTTCCAGCGGCTTACATAAATTTTATGAATTAATTACTTGAAGACACAATTCAATTTGTGTAATCTGAATAAAATCTCTAACACCATTTTATCGCGGTCTCAGTAATCTATATCACATCAGATTTTACTTCCGTTAAGGATTATCCTGATAAAATAGTTTGCAATAAAATTGTCTTCAAAGTTCACAAAATAATTAGTTACATAATTTGGCCAAAACGTTATCTAATCTAAATGAGTTTTGTAGATAAATATTTTACATATGTAGATGAGCTTTGTAGATAAATTAATTTATTGTTTGTAAATAATAAAATGTTATATATAAAAAATGATGATTTCATTAGGAAGGTGCAACAATAAAATACTTTTTATTGTCTTACAGAATTAATTGACAAACCTTTTATTATTCGCTATTAAATAATGTTTTAATCCTTACTTTTATCTCATTTCTTGAGGCAAATGAAGAAACGTTTCAGTGCAAGAAAAAATAATTTTTGTTTTAATATATCTCTAACACCACTATCCTAACTATCTAATAATTTTTGATAGTTTTCATATATCATCATTTTACATTATCCCAAGAATTTTCATATATCATCCTTTTACATCATCCTAATAGTTTCCTTATATCATCATTTTGCATCATACCAACAGTAGGTGATAGGCAGGGAAGATTTCAGTTCAGCATCGCTTGTTGAATTTCCAGCCAAGTACATTTGATTTGAAAATCCAACTCTAATAAATTTTCATATAGCATCATTTTACATCATCTCAATAGTTTTCTTATATCGTCACCTTACATTATCCCAATGGGCCTGAATGGGTGAGTGGCTAGCGCTCTGGCGTTCGGTACCACAGGCTTCGGATTCGAGTCCCGGCGATGCCATGAATGTTTGTAGTGGTTCGGAATCCACTTTAAACCGTAGGTCCCGGTCCTAATAGGATCGCAGAGAGTTTCGTGGGCATTGTTATTCCGCGTCCGTGGCTTATCTTCAAGTTACACGCGCCCCGTGGGGAATGCAAAGTGAGTAACATCCGTGCAGCGCTTGCCTTAAGACATACAAGACCAAGGTGTCTAAGTGTTGTCAGCTGCATTAGAAAAAAAAGAAAAAAAAACATTATCCCAATTGTATGGGATTGGTTCTACATCGATTGTCAGTTTTGATTAGAGCACTTTTTGTCCGAAAACCCAACTCGCTATATGCCCTTTCTCTTTTCAGTTCAATTTTAAAAACTGTTAGTTACAGAAAAATGAAATGTATCATATTTATGTTTCTATATTT